AAGTCAAAATTTCTAAATTTAGAAATTTTTCTAAGTGTTGAAAACTTCATATTTTTTCACAACTTTGAGCAAATTTTTCACCATGATGCAAGATGATTCAAAGGAAACTTTCAACATGAAAGTTGTATATCTCAATTATATATAAAACATTGTATAAAACTACTTCTCCTAGAAATGCATGGATTTCAAGTTATGATTTTGTGAATACATGTTCATGAAACTTGGAAACTTAGTGAAATTTTGCCCTAGTTTAGGCAGGATTTTGACCTAACTTCATGGAAATTTTTCACATAGTTACAAGGGGAATTTTCAAAAGTGACCAACATAGAGGTTTTAGAGGATGTTACAAGCTTTCCAAAATGTCCAAGAACTTATTTAGATCATGCTTGAGGAAAGAGAATCGAAGACAAGAAGTTGGACATTCATTCTTGAGTTATAGGTCATTTCCATGATGAACAAGAATTCAAATCCAAGCCTAGGCTGCATAATCTTTGCTTTGAAGGCCTCAAACTTGTTTGTCACTCCATAATTAATGGTTTACATAACTCTTTAGGCCATTATCCACTTGGTTTGAGCTTTGTCCAAAGTAATTTTCCATTTATGGCACAAAGTTGCCATTTCCATTTTGATAAAGCATCACTTTTGCAATTGTCAATTTATTGAGCTTTGCACTTGTTATTTCTGCACACACAATCCATATAACCCAAAATCAATGTGTCTAAAGCCTCTTTAAACTCAGGCCATGCTTGTGCTATGCCTTGAAATCATATTTCCCCTTTTCTTCAAAATCAAGTAACATAGCCATAAGTTTATATCTTGTTTTTCTGACCCTCTCAAGTGCACCAACCTTTTCCATATAATCACACAAGTTGTTTGCAAGCTAACACACGAATACACAAGCTATAAAACTCACCCAAACTCAGAACTGCATTATAAACCACCATTGTTGCACATTCTGACCAAGAACTTCAAACTTCCATTTCCCTCGTGCGTTTCTTGGCCTTTCAGTTTCAAAAGCTTTCTCACATCAAATACAAACCATCCCTGTCCCTGTTACACGATTGTAACATCATCTTCATCAACTTTCAAGTCCAAAAATATAGCATTGCAGTTGGACTTCTCCAAACCATTCCAGTCACTTCCAGTTCAAGCCAGCCATTACATAATCTTCCTAGAGGTTCAAGGAAGCTAACCTGATCATCACCATCACTTGAAACAAGCTTAAATTCATTTCACAATTTCCAGTTTTGAGGTATTTTTATTGAACTTATATCTCATTATTTAGGCATTGTTAGGCTTGCATTTGTGAAGATAAAATGTAGATATCATTGCCCTGAAACTATACATGTCCATAGATTTCATTTATGTTGCTTGAGCATGGAGAATTTTGAGTTTGAATTTGATGAAACATTTAGGTCATAATTTGGTACTTTCATAAATTCATCTTTATCTTTGAATGTTAGCTTAAGTTACTTACATGGTTAGATTCGTGGTGAAAAGATACACAAGTTTCATGTTTACACTTTTGAAAATGGATGAAAAATGAGTAAGTTACAGATCCTTTGGCTGGAGGTTGAAGATGAAGTACAATCAGGGCAAGACTTGTATTATATATTTATTGTTTTGTTTAAGTTAACGGATGTATCACCACCCCAGTGGTTAAAGCGCGCGTCTGTTACCTTAGGGACTTGGGATCGAGCCCCAGTGGTACCCATTTGCTTGTCTTCTCATATTTTTCACTTTTTTGATTGTTGTTTGCAGCGCTGGGCCTCCAACTTGGGCCTGGCTATTTGTTTGCTGACTTTAAGCCCCCTGACTATGTTTACACTCCAGGCCTATTTTATTTTGTTATTTTATTTATTTTCTATTTTTATTTTTATTTCATAATTTCTTCATATTTTTATTACTATTCTTATTATTATTATTATCATTATTATTATTATTATTATTATTATTATTTTAATAAAAAATATAAAAATATTTTTATTTTATTATTTATATTTATTTAGTTTATTTTTCTTTCATAAAACAAAAGAATAAAAACATTTCCTTTTAGTAAATTAATTTCTTTTTTAATACTTAGATAATTAGGTTGAATTATTATATCATTATTTTCTTGTAAATTAAAATAATTTAGAACTTAGGTTTCCTTTTAATTAAATTAATTAATTCTCATGTTATTTTTCATTATTTAAAACCTTTTTTTTCATAAAACCCTAAAAAACCTTTTGAATTAATTTCTTTTCTTAATTAGTTTACGTTAATTTTGGTTAATTTCCATTAATTATTTTCTTAATTAGGTCAAGATTAAAACCCTTCATAAAATCAAATAAAAATCATTTCTTTTTTCCATTTTGCATTCTTGTATTTTATCTCCAATTTTGTATATTTATTCAATATGGTTGTAATAGTTAATTAGATTTAATTTTCTTGCAAAATCCCCATTTATAAATTTGTATACCCCCTCCCCTAATGATGTAATAGTTTAGTATTTTTATTTTCCGCAATTTAATGCTTTATATATAAATGCTAGTAAATTAGGGTTTGTATGAAAATATTAAAATCAACAAGTTAGCAAACCCTAATTCAAGATAAATAATGCATGTAAATCAACACAATTGCACACTTACACCCTTAGGGTAAATCCCCTTTGTTGCCTTACAAAAATGGCCATGTTATGCATGTGGAGTATCTTAGCAAAAAGCAATAAAAAAATACAAGATCACAGTTCCTCGATGATGCTATCAAATGTTGCCTTTCAAAATGATCTTAGTCCCTCAAATATAAATTTCTAAGATATTTCACAACATTGCTATCATGGCTATACGATGACCCATGCCCGTCCCTTTACATCTAAAGATGGAGTTTCTTACCAAATAAATGGTGAGATAATAATATCAAAGGAAAGGACGAAATGAATTAAGACTTTTGAGTAGGTAGATTGTTCCTAGTTGCTTGCTCAATTTCAAATCAAACACTCTTGCTTATTTTGAAAACAAACACCAACACTTTCAAAACATCTTTCAAACTTGAAACATTTTCAAAAGCTCCACAATTTGTATACGTTCTTACGAACAAGAACTATTACAAAGTTTTCCTAAACGATGTCGCCTTTTCAAAATACTTTCAAAAAACCACACAAAGCACATTTTCAAACAAAAGCAAGTGATCTAGCTTCCCTTTTCATAATCTACCCCTGAACTCAAGAAACAATCTCAAAGGTCTTTCCTGTTATTTTCATCCTTTCCTTTTGGATAAAAGAAAAGTCGATGGAGACTCTTGCTAACCGCAACATTTTGCGATTAAACGCAAAACCCCCAAGTCAGTTCTCCCACCGTATTATAGCGTACCTTAGGGACTTTGTAACTTGTTGGCTTATACTGTCGATAAAAAAACAAAGTTAGTAGAAAATATTAATTTAAAGACTAAACCTCACACTCTCATGGTATTGAATAAATTCACGTTCCTTAACCATGATATTTTTCTCTCGCTCGCCAATTTTAATTAAGGAACAATTTTGAAAACTGAATAAGTCCTAATCGATCTTAAAGTTCTCTCTCTCTCTCTCTCTCTCTCTCTCTCTCTCTCTCTCTCTTTAGGATCGATGCCCTATTCTTACTATTTGGTTCGACCCCCACACTCTCGTAGTGTCGGATTGAACCTTAATTAATTTTCACTCTTGTGACAAATTGTTTTAAATAAATTTAAAAACAAAGACCAAAACATAATTTTTAATAAAAAATTAAGCCAACTTCGCTACCGAGTCACATCAAAAAAGACAGTCCTCACATACCGGATTTATGACTATTTAGCTAGGCATACTACTAATTAAAATTGCATAAAACATTAGGGGTGCAATAAAGAACGAAACGACAATTAAATTAACAAAAACAATAATTATAATACGATAAATGTAAACATGTGTTGCACCCCAAAATTTTCCCTCATAATTTCTTTTATCTGGCTTAGATATCTGTATTCATTCGCATATATTCCATTATGTCACTAACATAGCATGCATTCAATAAAGAGCTTGAGGTTCAAAGTTCATTGGTCGTGCAATATTAGGGTTTCATAGTAGTTAAGGCATTCGTATTCAATAGAAGGCTGATTTCTTATTCGAGCAGTGAGGTCGAGATTTAGGGTTGTGAGTCGTGGTCATTGAGAATTTATTTCTTCATCAAGATACAAGGATATTAGGGTTTATTTCTCTAAGTGCGAGCAAAGATTAAGACATTTTTCAGCTATTGTATTCTAATGGAGGTTCTTCTTCAGGAATCATCGATCACAAGTTGGAATTTTGCATAGTGATTTTCTTCAAAACAAGGCATGGGATTTGAGATTTAATCGCGGACATGGATTCTCTTTGTTGTACTATTGGTTATCAGATGGATATTGAGGGTCTGGTTTCATGACATTCATGTGGCGCACCTCACAATTAAGTGTTGTGAATCATCAGGAGAAGGATGGTTCATTTGGTTATGTGCTTTACAAGAAAATATTGTGAATTTGATACAATATCATCTCAAAGTTAAGTTTAAGCTATTGGGGATTTCATATATGGGTCCGTTGGTGCAAACATGGAATGAAGTTTAATTGAGATCCAAGAATCATGGTTCAAACACATTCATCATCAAAGTCCACAATATTCATTATTATTCTATCAACGACATTTCAGGATCAAAGAAATGAGTATTCAGTTACAAGTTCAAAAGCAATTAAGTGAAATTAAAATTCAATTTGAGGGAGAAAAGCATACACTTTTTGAATACTTGAGAAGATTGATATTGAATTCTAAAGATTTCAAACTACATTCATGATCAAGATCTATAATTTCATGCGAAATGTCAAGAAAAACTTATTCAAAATCTATCCAAATTTCATCCAAAACCTCCTCATTCAAAGTTCAATTGTTAGAGTACACCATTCTCATTTGCAAACTCAAATCATTACACCAATAATAAAGCGAGAAGCTCAAATTATAAATATCATGGACATTGCTAGAATTGGCAAAAGACCATATGTGAGAATATAAAACCCAGCTTGCCATGCTCCCCGTCTTCATGCCTCAACCAAATTCCATGTTTTCTTTCAAGTCTCCAAACCAAGCTGACAGTTAGACCAAAACAGCTCTGCATACAATTGTTAAAATCATGCCAAATAAGTACCAAAAATGCTTGATGAATCTTACTCCAAGTCGCCATCTGCACCATGCTAAAACAATTTTCGTGATGAGTCATGTTTCGAACTTACAGTTAGCATAATATACTAATAATCAGCCTTGCAAAAACCAGAAGCAGAAACTAACAGGATTTATGCTAAGTCTAGCTTCAAACCAATTCAAACTAATCCTATCTGTAACTAAACTATATCAATACTAACCCCACTTCAATCGGATTCTAGTTTCTACTAACCACCGTAGTCACATTAGACTCTATTCTAATAGAACTTCTAACTGCCCCTCAACCAAAATTCAAATAATCTAACCTTTTAACAGAAACTTTACAATTACAAACAGTGCAAACAGATCAGCCACCAATTCAAAATCAGAACCAAATGATAAATTTGTGTCTGGAACCCAGGAAAATGAGCCCACTGATGATTTCTTTGACCCGTGCGGTCCTACATCAGTTGCTCCAACCACCTCTAATTACGGCGAAATGGATTCACTTGGTTCTCTATCATACTCGTTCTCTTCAAATGCATTGCCTCTAGTGCCAGAGACATCAACAACTGCCCTTACATGGTCTCTTACGTCTCCGCTGAAACCTCTGCGTCAAGAATATTAGTGGAGGATGTTTTACACTTAACACGAGAAGATGATCATCATGACCTTGTTGAGGCAAATGTCGTATTTGGATGTGGACAACTTCAGAGTGAATGGTTCTTAGATGTTGCTGCTCAGAATGTTTTGTTTAGACTTGGTATGAAGAAAATATCAGTTCGTTGCTCTTTTGGTTCTGGAACCTCTTTTATATATTTGGTTGATCCAACCTATTCAAAGCCATCCTACAGAAATCCAGATAACAAAACCAGTTCAGATAACTTGCAAAAAAAGTTAGGGAAAGTATAAATCAAATATTAGAAATTGGAATCAGAAAAAAATAGCAAAAAAAGGTGAAAGTCATAAGAACTCAACTTTCATTCAGAGCTCTAACAAATTCCTAACTGTTTTCTAACTTCCTCTAACAAACTCTAACTGAATTTCTACCAACTGAAGGATATAACAGAATTTTCTCAGATTCAAGATGGGGGGCTTCACAATTTTGCAGAGGAATCACTATCGCCATATTCTTCATTCTCTTCCAACCTGAATAATCCCCATTGAGAATTGGAAAAATAGACAAAAGAGTATCAGAGCCTCAGCTTCAATCTCTCTTCTTTTCTTCTTCAACCTTCGATGATTCATTTTGAAAAATCTCTGAAAATTCTTCACATCTCCATCGCTCTTTAATCGCTGAAATTCTCTATCATCAACCTCAACATCTCCATCAACTCTCTGCAAACTACTTTAACATTCAATCTGCATCAAGTGTAACTTTAATCATCCCCGTTTTCGTTCGTGGAATCGTTTCTCAACCAAGATTCTTCATTGACTCTTCATCACTCTGCACCAACATTCAGTCTCCATCAGTTCTGTTTCAACGTTCCTCAATCGTCTTCATCAACATTCTCACGATTCATGCATCAACGCGCTACTGAGTTCGCAAGAATAACGACAAAGCACATAAAACACACAGAAAAGAGATGAAGATAAAGTGAATTAAAAGAAGAAACACAGAGTAATCAAAAGTATGGACTACAACGTACCTGAATCGAAGAAACACCAGATTTCTCTCTGGTATGTAAGATTTGATCTTCGATTTCTTCCACTTTTTTCCAAGTCTTCTGAAGCGCATAGGTCACCGAGGATCCATGGTGTATGAGGTTCGTTTGATGGCTTGTTTTGAAGATGAAACGTTTGATTTGAGATGAAGGTAAAGATCGAAAAGTAATTGCGGAGACCAATTATCGCAAGAGAAAGAAGTTGAGAGAGATGAGACGGAAGGGGGTATGCGGTCATAACAGCGGTGAAGTGGTGGAATCCATTGATCGATCGAAGAAGGAATCCAGTGCCGCTTTGTTTGCAATGTTGAGGAAGAAGGCGGTTGAGAAGATATATCGTGAAGTTGAACCGTCTCAATGTTAACCTATGTTTTCTTCATCTAAAACGACTTCGTTTCATTTTCATCTTTTTTATTATTTTTTTTACTAATAGTTCAATTATAAGCAGAAATAGAGAATTTGGTGATGAGGGATGGGCCCTAGACCGTAAACACCCCCTTTTGGCCCATATACTACGAAATTTTGTTGGGTATAACCTTTGCTGAGCATAACAAAAATTCAGTCATGGGCCATAACTTGTGGTCTTAGCCCCTGGAGTGGATCACTGAATTCACACCCATATTCCAGTCCGCATACCCCCGTTAGTTTAAAGTTTGCTTAAATTTTTCTTTAATCTTTTTTAATTCCTAGATAATAACATTAGGAATAAAAATTGATGAAAAAAAAATGATAGAATCAAATATAAGAATTTGTTAGATTTTTTTATGTGATTTAGGAATTAAATCTCGATTATCTGATTATATTTGAGATTGGCAATTCACCTTTGCTTGTTGAGATTTGAGTCTTATGCAGGTTCATTGTACGATACGCGGATATGCTCGAGATTTTGATTGTGATTTATTTTCACATTGATCGTGCTTCGACATTTATCCTGAGCATTTGATTTTAGACTCTTTTCTTTGCTTGGTGGAGCTTACTCAAAGTTTTCCGGGTTTCTTTGTTTTGATAGGCTTTGCTACGGATTGATATCTGTTTGGTATTTTTCCTTGTTTATCTCATTTTAGAATTTTACCGCTTTCTAGAGATCATGAGAAGTAGGAAATAAAGAGCGTGCGCTCGAAGTCGCTGTTTAAAGACCTGGAGCATGAATTCCGCACTTCATTTGCTATATGTGTTGTGCTTGTGTTTGTTTTCTGGGTTGTTGATCGATGAGTCACTCAATTTAGAAATTGAGATCACGACTTCGCTCTCAGTGCATGCTAACTATAGGATTTTATCTCTTTCCTTGATTTCTTGTTGATCAATGAGTCACTCAATTTAGAAATTGAGATCACGACTTCGCTCTCATTGCATGTTCCCCATAGGATAGTTTTTCTAGACTTTCTTTGGCATTCTAGCCTAGATAGGATTCCTCTAGGTGTGCTCTCTTGAGCCTTTTAATTATTGATTTGTTTTCCTACCTTGATCTTCCATGTCATGGTTAGACATTTGACTTGAGTTAACATGTGCAACTCATGATATATTGTGTGTGCTCTCTTGAGTTTCTTGGCTTGCTTGCTTGATTTCATCTTTGTGTGCATGTTTTGAGATGATATACCCTCGACATGTTCCCTTAGGAGCTCTCGATTCAACTATAGGTGATGATTCAAGATGGATATAGTTTTAGGTTATAGACCCTTGCTATGCTCCTTTAGGACTTCTTGATTCATATATAGAGGATGAGTTGAGATAGACATTAGGATTATTATCCAAGCATGTCAACATAGGGTAGATATTTACCTTTTATCCTCCACTCTAGGATCAATCATTGCATGATAGCATTAGGGATAGATTTAGGTTAGTTTCCCTTAGATGTTTTTCTTTCTTTTTGCATCTTTGCATTAAGACTAAAACTCTTTTTCTTGGAAAATCATAAGACATCTAACAACTTCCAAATCCTTCTTTAAGGTAAAAATATCAACCAATGCAAACTATTTTGCGCCTTCGGGCTTTTCCTTCAAACTTTTTGAAAAAGAACATGTTAATTCACTTATGTGCTGACGTGTGAGTCTCCAAAGGTTGAGTTGCGGCAGAAGGCGAAATTAATATTTGTTCATAAAAAATACAAACCAACAAAAACATTTGAAGCTGAACTACAGTTGCTCTGATTCCTTAAAAGGGATACATAGGCATTGGGGTAGGGCCCGAGCGAGCATAACTTTTATTTTCCTTATATTATTCTCTCTTTTCTTTTGCATGCATTCCCTGTACAGTTTAGATATATATCAGACACACCCTTTGATTAGAACAACAAGAGTGGATAACGTAGAGTACTACGGGTGTGTGGGGTGCTAATACCTTCCCCTCACGTAACAGACTCCCTTACCCGTATCTCTTGGTCGTTCGACCTTGATTTCACCCTTCTTAGGTTTACTCGATGTTTACCTTTCCCCTCTCGTGGGATAAAAAAAGTTCCATGGCGACTTCATTGATTTCATTATCAATTGATTGTTCAGTCGGTTGTTTCAACATGTAAAGATGGAAATAAAGAAACTGGAATGCTTTCACTAATGGCGGCAAGATTACGATTCAATATAAAAGATTCAAGAGTAGCTTTTCAATTTGTAAGAGATTCGCATACAATCCTTAATAACTAAAAACACGTAAAATGTCCCTATATATAGTGTTACAGGTTGGGGAGAGGGTCCTAAACATGCACAATATTGGTTGAGAGAATGTAGGAAGTTGTGAAGAATGGGTCTGGCTCGGTTTCCACGTATTTGTAGTTTTTAGTCAAATGACGATCGCCATTGGGCTCATGGCGTCAACCATGAGCTCAATTTCATTAATTAACATGGTAGACATCCATGGCAAGCACCATGCTGCTAGTGGCGTCCACCATGCACCAGGAAACAACAACTTTGCATTTTTTCTGCTCTTTCTTGTTCTTTTTTCGATTTCGGTGCACAAGTCTTCATGGAAACTTTCCTACCCGCAATACACATATAAAGCAACATAAAAACACAATAAAGGTAAGAAATTGGACTAATTAGCATGCAAATCAAGTCAGGAAATGAGATGCATTTTCATGTTATAAAACTCCTCCATACTTAGAATGTTGCTTGTCCTCAAGCAACCAACCAATGCGGTAACAATTAAGTCACGAGTTTGAAACACATACCTCAAAAAAATCTAAACATATGTGGCTACTAGGAGATTGTTAGATCGATAGGTACTAGACATCAATACCAAGGATACCGTAATGACACAAGTTCGAAAACTCTCTTCCTATGCAAACCAATCTGAATCATGTTATTATAACTTGACCTATGTTTTTCTTCTCTTTTCACCCACTTTCATTCTAGTGCAATCACATTAAGCCTGTTATTCCTACACACTCATAATAAGGGAATCAGTTAGCTACTATGATATTTCTTAAACACGGGATTTTGGTACTAAGCGTTGCAGCCCCATTTTTCCCAATTGTGGATTACGGGGGATTGAACTGTAGTCTTCCCTACCTAGTCCAACACTAGTGACCACTAAACCAACCAAAAATGGGTGCTTATTATTAAATCCATATAGGCGTAACAACCGTTATGCTAAATGACCGAGTGAGGGTCACCTAACTTAGAAAGCTATTTTTCAGTTAAATCATGTATTCATTAAAAACGAGATTATTCACTTATGTTCTTCGACTCCCCTATGTAGAGTGCGCTTAGGATGGTGTTGACTGCTAATATAAACTACTTGGGGTTGCTTTAAAATTCAAACTCAAGGTCTCGTCATAGTAGGTACTCAAATTGATTATTGCATATTTAGGGGGTTTAAGTTGTCAAGATGTTACCGATTTTATTGAATCTTTCCAAGTCTTTCTAACATAACCTAAAGTGAAAAACAATCTATTTACTCTTAGAGTGTTGTGGTATGAATCAAACAAATTTTTTTTGTTGGGGTCAATTTTGGTGGGAATTATCAACAACTAAAAAACATGCATAATTGACTCGATATCAAATGCTATATTAAGCAAAAATTGAAATCAATAAAAATCCTAACAGCGTGAAAACAAAACTAAGAAAATGACAAATCTACCTAGAAAGCAATAAATAAAATTGATAAAGCTTCCTCCCCCACACTTAAATCGAACATTTTCCCCAATGCATCGATAAAAGGTGGAAAAGGAAGGTATAACTTGGAGTGACAACTATTGATGGTCACGACCTCGTGCTCGTCCATGCCCACCTTGACCTAGCTGGTAGGGTGGCATACCCACATGCTGGATGTATTCTTGTAATTCCTCCACATGTACTATCGTTTCTCCCATCATAGTAGTCAGGCCTGACAATTTCTATTTTGTCTGTCTAGTATAGTCATGTTGGTGTTATTGGAGTTGTTGGATATGTGTCATCATATCAAGCTGTTGAGCCTACATGTCTCGAATCAATTAATCACGTTGGACATCTAATGTGTTTCATTGACTTAGCTCAGCAAGGATGTCGTCAAGGGAGGTACTGGTAGTTCCACGATCATTCCTTCTTTAAAGTTGGTGTCAAGAGGACGTACCTGCAATAGTGTTAGAAGTATTGTGTGTAGTATGTGAGTCTGTATCATGAGTATCTTGCTCCATAATATCTAATTCATCATCAGTGTTGCCCCTTTCATTAACCTGAGCGTTAATGTTAACGTCGGGTTCTGGGCATCCAATTTTGTTTGTTTTGCACATCAATCCGTGTGTCACAAGGAAGGATAATGCTATTAACAGGCTTATTTTTAACCATTAAGTAACACCTACCATCTTGTTTGTTGCTAATTATGTGCATACTATAGAAGGAATCCTTATCAAGGAACATTATGGGTTATGGCTCAAGTATGGTCAATTGGTTACCAAACCCCATTGCAAGAGATATAGATGTGATCATCCATCTGATGCAGATGGGACCAAAGGCTCTAGTAGCCAAAAATTGCAAATGTGTAAGCATGAATGGTGTGGGATTAACCTGTGTCGGTGCTAGTGCACAACGCATAAAATAAAGCTCTTTCGAGTTAACCTTTCCATTATTATCTTGTCCAAAAAGACTATAGGCTAGGTGCCCCTGTTCAATCTTCTTAAACCTGAAGAGTTAGATTGGCGAGTCCGCCATTTGTGACTTGAAGGTAGAAGATGATTGAACACTAGAGTGCCCAGAAAGTTGCACTCGATGATGTGGTGGTTGATTGTGTAGGGAATGAGCTTAAATATTCCATTTGGAGAGATGATGG